CCCCTCTGACTCAACTTTTCATCAGCAAAGCTAGCATTTTTCTCTCAACAACATCACCAGCCACAGCAGCAGCAGCAGCACAAACAAGAACCCCAACATGGAAGAGATCATCCAAATCAACGAGCTGCCGGTAGCACAGCTTTGGTCCTTGCTCTGCCTGTGCCTCTACGCCACCGCCTTTAGTACGTCGGTTTCCAATGCCTTTCCTGAGCCCCCTGCGCTTGCCAGCCCTGCCCGTGTTGACATACCCCATGTGATGAGCTCACCCCCACCATCGTGGCCACCTTTGCTCTTTCCAAAGATCCTGGTACTGCTGCTCCGCGCTGCTTGAGGCTGCCCAAAGGACGTGCCCGAACCTTTCCAGATCTGCCCCTGGCCGTCATCACGCTGGTGCCCCGTCATCTTTATCAGCGTTACCCCCACCTTGCAATCAATCTGAGGGACGGTGAAATCGATGGCCGGGAGCGGGTGACTTGCAACTTCGCAAAAACTGGAAAGTCTGGCTCCGGGCAGTGGGCATGCTGGCCAGTGGAGCATTGCCTTGTCCCTGCGAGGGCCAAGCGTCAGCCTATGGTCACTTGTACCAACCTCAAGAGCATCACATCCAGTGCCCGCTCAACTGCACCCGTGAGAATGTCCACTGCGCATGTGGTCTCGCCCAGGTTTGTCGTCCCTCTCTCAGCCACACAGAGAACAGAATGGTCACAATGTATCCATTCGCAAGCTCTGACCAGCGGACTCCCTTGATTTGTTTCCAATCATAGTTTGCCCAGAAGCTTGTCTGCATGTTCTTTTCCCTGCCAGAATGGGAGGTGATTGCTCGTGAGTATCCAAACTGCCTGACCTTGATCGACAGACTGCCCGCACCCACGTCCCCTCATCTAAACCGCACTACCGCATAGGCTTTGACAATGAAAAGGACATCAAGTTACAGCTTCGCATGCTGTTGAATGTATCCGATCGATACTTTGCTGACGCGGATGACCATCTCTTTGAAGAGAACGTCACCATGGTGAGCCGGCACCTCAGTCAGCATGGTTTGCGCCTGGAGCGTCATGACCGTTGCTTTCGGGTTCTGCGCCTGACATCAGATGGGCACTGGCTTCCTGTGGCCAACCCCAGCCGCCTAGCCCGGCCACGACAAAACCAGCGCCGACGCCCGCGCGCCCAACAGCGAGCCCAACAGCGACAACACCGCCAACCCCCACGCCAACGCCAACGCCAGGGCATTGCGCGTCACCGGCCCCAGCAGCGCGCTGGAGCTTACCAACCCCAACCTGCCCGCGTGAACCAAGCTGTCGTGGATGATGCGGATCTCAATGAGATCTTGCATGGGCTGTTTAGTGACGAGGCTCAACCGGATGTCAACCCCAGAGTTGAGATCGATCCGCAGGCACGCTTTCTACCTGCGTTGCCGGTGGCTGAACCCCTGCTCTTGGGTAACTTCGAAGGGGCAAACATGCCCGAACCCAACGCCCTCCCTTTTGGACCCGATGATTGGCTGCCGGATGATCAAGCCCATGATGATCACGGTGAAATGGAGATGGACGAGCTCATTCAACTACTTCAGGAGAATATCTGAAAGCTGGATCACAAGCAGCTGCTAAATCAGCTCTGCCTTGGTCTATTGTGCTCACGCCTCCAGTTCTTGTGAAACATGATGTGATCGGCGTTGTATCCTCTCGAGGCACTACTTCGCTACTTCGCTACTTCGCTACTTTGCTTTCCCCGTCACCTTTGTTCTTTTTTCTTCTGTTTGTTTCGTTTGTTGGATTGATATCTTTCGCTGCCCCCCCCTGTCATTTTTGAGATTCGAGTGTTGTTGAGTTTTAAGAGTGTGAATAGAGTTGAGTCTGAGAAGCAAGCATGCTTCTGCTCTCGCGTTTCGTGCAACCCAGCGGGTTGGTCATCATAGATTGCGTGATTGAATTTATAATTCACCTGTTATCAACCACATTGCTCGCCCTGGCACTCGAAACAAGGCAGCTTCCCCCTGCCCAAGACACGTACATGTACGACCGTGCACTTGGATTGTCAAAGTGCACAGCTCGTTCAAACGCCTGTGGTCGCCTAGGCGAACCAGTTGATGAGAGTGCGGCCTTGGATAAGCAGTGTTTGCAAGCGCTGGTGTATGAATGTGAGAGCCTCGGCTCTATCTTCGGATATCAAAGGAGCGCGCCACTCTTCTGGCAAGAGACGCAGGTTGACCCATGGTAATTGGCTAGCGGCAAAATCTTGTTCTTTGCACATCGTGATCAAGCCTTGCAAAGTCTGCACACCATGTTCGGCACGGGTCAAGGTTTCAAGATCAGTCTGCCCCAGCAGTTCGCAGCTCGCCTGATACAGGGCCACCCAACAGGCAGCGACCGTGATGGGATCTGTCCGTGAAAAGCAACAAGCTTCCGTGAGCCACACTCAAAGGAAAAAGGAAAAAGGGCAAACATCGAGTTGCCGGGGGTTGAACCAGCGGCACCCACTGGTTCTCGCCCTGACCTGGCGCGTCGTGTAGCAGTTGCGTCATAAGAAGGGTGGAGAGCCAATGTGGTGTTGGAAGCTTCTCACGGCTAGGAAAAGCAGAGGTGGTAAGATCGGTACGTCGGATTCAAAACCATTGAGAGGGTTCAGTTGTGGAACAGCTATGGGCGAGAGACTATCTGCAGTTCAGGAACATACCAAGACACGAGCCATGCAGATTTTTCTGGGCTCGCTGAGCTTTGCAAGAGTGCAAACCCTTCGTTGAGAAGTGTATCACATTCCGGTTGATCGTGCTCCTCTCGACAAGAGACACAAATCCAGCTACAGGGGATTGAAGAACGGGTGAGATTCTAGTAGCCATGAGAATGAAGCTCAGACGCCATGACAACGCACCCGACGCTACCGGGGGCGAGACGCTGGGGTTGAGCGCAGACCGGGCAGGTTCCGATAAGCTGCTCCTCGTGGGGCAATTTGTTTGTACAACGAGCACAGGTACAAGTGAAACTGAATGAAATGGGACATTGTAGTACAACGGGCCGTGCGATTGCAAGTGGCGATGTAAGTCAACGGCGTCCGCAACCCTGTCCCCATGCCGGCAACTAGCCTTGTAGGCAGGTGCCATGACAAGCCATTGGGGTATACCAGTGCGGAGATGAGGCTATGATGCTTACGCGTAGGCGGCTTGTAAATGCCGCTGGCGCTGGTCGACGGGCAACATGAGACGACTACCCTCGAGGTAGGAGATGGTCAGCATTTCGCCAGTCGCAATTGCACGAGTGGCTCGCACTTCCATGGTACGCTGCAACCCGAAAATGAGAAGGAGGTTCAAATCGGATGAAGCATATGGGCCGGAGGGCCTCTTCGGGTGGGGCTTGCGCTCTGCGACACAAGGCATGGGGGGCAATCCTGGACTCACCCATTGACCACCCTCACGGTCAGGCACAAAGACCCCACAGTTTGGTTGACAGGAATGATTGAGGAGACTGGCATCGGGGAAAAAACCTACCGGACGCGTCATCTGGTCAGAGCCAGGAGCTGCAGGTCATGCAAGCCTTGTGTCATGTTGGCTTTGCACACCCTTTTCCACCCCACGCGACTCCTTCTCACCTTGGTCGAAGCAATTTTGGCCTAGCTTGGTGTGAACTCGTTCGAGAACAGCATCATTCAGATCAAGCGCCCGGGTGGCATGACCTGCAAGCATCAAGCAAAGCAGTGACTCAGTGCTCGCCAGCCATGTGTGTGTGTGCAGGTCAGAGCCGCCCACTACCTGAAAGCATACCTAGCGCGGCTTTCAGCACGTCGACGTCGTCGCTGGCGCGGGGACAAAGATCAGTGATCTGATGACTGAGAGCTTCCCGCTTTGCGGTGCCTGCCTATGCACGCAACGCCCAAATCCCATGAGAGAAGAGCCAGAACACCGCCAGGTCGCCTTGAAAGCGAAAAAGCGGCACCGGAATCGACGCGCTCGGCCGCAATGCGGCCATCGAACAATGAAAAGCAATTGGAACAGGCGCACCGGCGTGGTCTGGAAGAGCATGTCCAGAATGTCTGTGGTGGCTTCCCGGTCATGGTGGAAGCAAAGGCCTCGACTGGCGCACACAATCGCTCCGGCGTCCAACGTCGTCTTGGCCTGGAGGAAGCGCCCAAGCTCTGCCGTCTCACAGAGTGCAACCCCAGCTCCCAACGCCATGACAACAATGCCTGAAATCTTGCCCTAATCTTCTTCAGACCTCGACCCACACACACACACACACGCACACACACACACACACTACCAACGACAGGCCCCGCGCTTGTTCGCGTACGTTGACCCGAGCTCAAAGTGAGTTGAGTTGAGCGCCAGAGCCGAAGACGAGAGAGAGACGAGAGAGGAAAAATGAAAAAAAAAAAAAAAAAAAAAAAGTCGTAAGCGGAAGTGTGATCATGCTTACACTCTACCACTTAAGACCAGTTGTCCAGCAACAACCTGCTCGACTATTTTATCTTACATTCCTCTTATCAATACGTGTGTGTGTGAGAAGAGAGAGCGCGCTCGCATTTTAGCTTGACGAACACACACACACACACACACACACACACACACACACACACACACACACACACACACACGTACACACACGCAGACGCACACACACGCAAGCAGGGCCGGGTGTTAGGGGGCAGGAGGCGCGCTCCGACGACGACCAGGCGGCATGGGGATGGGGATGAGGGTGCTCGTGTTTTTGAGCTTGGTTCAGATGGCTGTGCTGGTGCCGAGTTTGGGGCCCTCGACGACGCTGGATGTGGTGGAGAGTACCACAACGCTTGTGCTTCAGGAGAGCAGCAAGCCGGAACATGAGACGAGCTCGGTCATGCCTACCAAGACCAGCACCACCGAGACCATCCCTACCCAACACAGCACTGAGACCAGCACCGACTTGACGGTTGCGGAGCAACAAACCAGCGGCAAGACCGAGCCACCGCTTGCTGGCTCCACCTTTGCGCCCGTCGCTGCCCAAACCATCGGCACCAAAGGTGAGCCGCCATTCCCCAGCTTTGACGCTGCCACCGCCAAAAACGCCAAAAACCCGTTGGTTGTCGCTGCTGTTCAGGCCGCAGCCCAGCCGCATGTAAATTTCATGCACGCTGCACTGAGTGCCCTTTCTTGTCTCTTCCACCGCTGACTCCCCGCCGACCTTGGCGCGCGCTTCTTCTTAGATGAAGAAACGATGACGGCTGGTGTGCGCAACGAGGATCGACTGCGTGACATGTTGGGCAGCAAGTTTCAGACTGGACTCCTTTTGGTGGTATGCTTGCCGCAACCCACACTACAGCCTGGGTCCCGGAGACCCTCAGTTGGGCCGCACCGCCTTGCCTCCATAATGCTGGCCCTTCTCACCTCAGCCACCTCGTTCTCGTGGTGCTCGCAGACCACCTTGGCCTGTGTGGCAGTCATTGCCTTTATGGTCATCCAATGGCGCCGTGTTCGAGGTTTTCGCTCTTACCGCTTTGTGCAAGGCAGCGACATTGAAAGCATCGAGCTTCCCGTCATCAACTCCAGCGACCAGGAAGACGACGATGATGACACCCACCACAGCATGTACATGCGCTGAGGCCTGATCAGCTCTCGAAAGAACAACCTGCCGTCGTTGACGCTGCGGCGCACTCCAGCGCGCTTGTGTCTCTCTGTGCCGCAGATTCTTTCTTTCTCCTTTTTTTTGACTTGTTTAGAACAACCCCACCCCCTTTTAAGCGTCTTAGATCAGTGTTGTGTCGTCCCTGGCTCTCATGAGCTCCACCGGTGTTTTGCCTCTTGCCCGTTCTCGTCTCGGGTCGCCCTCTCGCGCGTGATTTTTGTGACATGAATTTTGAAGTCTCTTTGCTCAGCGAGCATAATCCAAAACGGAGACAAGGCAATCTGTCCTCGATGCTCTCTCGTTTCTTCAACCTACCACCGCCCGTGCTAACCCAGCAATTCCCAACTTGGCAGCCACATTAAATAGTCCATCTCCTGTAGGGGCCCTGTCATCCCGTATGCCATACATGCAAACTGGCCAAAACTCCAAGCAATGACCACCACTACCAACCCCACCCCGGCTTCACGCACTCCTGCAAAAGCCAACCCAAGCGCATGAGTGTCGACGGCTGCTCGCGAGTTTCGTTCTGCCCGAAAACGCGCCCCGCCACACCAAGATCCGGCCTGCACACACGCACCAGCCAATTGAGGCACCAAGGCCTGACATCCATGTGCCTAGTGGACAAAGTGAAATGTTCGGGTTGAAAAGTTGGGGGTTGCCCACGCCAGCACTGCATGCCAGCAGAAATTGTAGCGCTGACATACCAAGAGGTCAAGAAAGATGCCGAGAAACATGCACCCGATCATGGCCGCTAAACAAAATGCCAGCGCCACAGGCGCAGGTGAGCTGCTTCAAAGACGGCCCCACAGGATTACTCGGGCCGTGACTGTTTTCTCACAATCCGACACCAAACGTGGCCCAGCAGCTGAGATCATAAGGAGGACAAAACAGAGTGTTGCTCTTGCACGCACGCACCAGGCAGATAGTGGTGAAAGTAGAGCACGCGCGCCATGAAGTAAAAGGGAAGATAATGCAGTGCATAAGCTGCCACCAGCCATCCCAAGATTGGGCTCGCCCGCGCCAAGCCGGGCACGTAACAGAAGCGCGGAAGCTACATCCATCGATAACCATGATAACCACCATCAACGCCTGTCCGTGCGAGCTGCGGTTCAATGACGTTTGCAACCGCAACACTCACTTGCAGCTGGCGTTTACTCAGTACCATCCAGAGTAAGAAGACAGCCAAGGCAAGACCCAAGGCTGCCAAAATGCCCCAGTACACAACAGCATTGCCCAATAGATAAACGCGGACATCATGATCCTGCCAGCCCGTGAAGCGCTGCCCCTTATAGTTGATGGGCCATTGCCAAGGCTGCGAAGTGATTTCCCCTTCTTTAGGTATCAGCCCATTGTTCACTGAAAACATGCCCACGTGCGCCTAGACCATGGTGATTGACGTCAGCAAGACTTGGACCCACCACAAATGTGCAAACCAAGACATGCGGGTAATTCGCGGGCTCACTTCAACTACGCTGGTCCAGAAACTTTGCACTTGAGCGACGGAAAAGTTTTTCTCAAACCGCCAGTTATCGTGAAACTCAAAGTTCCATACTGCGTCCACCGAGTGCAAATCCAGGCTGCAGGATACTTCCAGCTGCGTGTTCCGGTGCGTCAGCACGTACAAGGCAGGCAGGACGACTGTCAGACGCAATCACGCAAGTCAACGGCGCCTTTGCAGCCTCCTAGCAAAAAGGTGAGAAACACGGTGGTCCACGCCACTCGCGACAACGAAAGAGAAACGGGAAAAGAAGAAACCGAAGCAAAATTGCGAAGCAAGGCAGGCTCGGGACTGCATCGAGCGAGAGTCAGACCTGCTCAAACCCCCATTTGGGCAGCTTTTTGCCCGTCGATGCCAATGCACAGAGACGAGTAACATTCTCCCAACCGTGAATCAGACGAATACGATCCTAGAGAGGTCAAGAATGTTAGCGCAGCCGCCAACAGCCGACGTGCCACGCACTTCCATCAGCCCAACAACAACGTACAACGACGGGCTGAATGTGATCGCCATGCTGCCCATCTTCCTTCCAGATGATCCACTCGTCGTTCACGTCGCCAATGCCTTGATCTCCGTAACAGGTCACCTTTGATGAAAAGGCCGGGCAGCGGAGGAGCGGAGAGGGCACACTAAGGTATGTCGACAGCAAGAACGAAAGGCTTCAAACCTCTCTGCTTTGCTGACAGTGAAGAGCAGCAGGCATCATGAGCAGATCTGAGGCCTGACCTGGTGATGGTCAGGACGCATTGCTGCCGGGGCTTCATGGCTGTGAAGGTTGCGCCGAGTCGGGATATGCTCCAATCTACCAACACTCACCACCTTGTGAATCTGATGGTCAACAGGAAGGGCTGGCGGGGGTATGAACCAAGCGTACCGGATGCGATCACCGCTGCGAATGAGGTATTGTGTGTGCATGTCCTCATAATTGTCGTGCGTCTCGTTCAGCGGATTTGTCTGCACAAAAGCAAAGTCGTACAATGAGCCAGCAGACCATAGAAAAAGGCCTAGCTGCTATCCAACTCGTTCAGCATTCGGCCTCAGCTGGCAGCGCGAGAAACCTACTGTCTTGATGAGCCAGCGATTATTCTCGTCCCGATACCGATAGGCGGTCACTTGTTGCTGTTGAATCATACTGTCTGGATAAAGGTGAGGATGGGAGTGAAGGAGCCCACCAGCATGACTAAACTGCTTGATTGTCACCACCGAACCCAAGGCAATATACTGCGGCATGCTTCGGTTGTAGATCTCGCTGCCTTGAAGAGTAGTTTGAAAACCAGAGCTCATAAAGGCATCCCCTGGCCCTGATCGGTAGCACACGCTGGAACATGTCGCATTCATGAGCCAATTGCATCAAGCAACTTGACTATCGAGTGGATATCGAGTGGACATCTCTCTCTCTCTCTCTCTCTCTCTCTCTCTGTGTTTGCCCTCTTGCTTTCCTGGATAAACGGAGCATATCACGTACGCAAAATGCAGCCAGAAACAGGCGAGATACACGATGATGGGAAGAAGGATCAGCGTGCCGACACGTGCCGCGAAATGAGCCGTCCATGTGCGAATGCTCACGCGCAAATCTCCCCATAGCTCCCAAAGGTCGTTGGCCTAGGCATCAGAAGGGTGAAATGAGACAGGAGAGCTGGGCATGCAAAGAAGTGTGGCATGGCGAGCTGATCAGGCAGTGCGGCGTAGGGGCAACAGCACTGCTTGCAACAACGCATCGCCGCGAGAGACGCACGGTGTATAGTCCCACAAAAAGGACGATGAACAAGCCCACAAATTTGCAACTGATGGCGCAACCCAACATGACGCCGGTCGTGGCCAAGCTGGTCCACCACCACACACCAAAGGGTCTAATGTGCCACACCAACGCAGCTGTGTCATGAGCGCCTGAAGCAAGCAACTCGAAGGGAGGGGCCTGTATAACCTCGCCTCGTCAGAAAGCGTACCGTGTGCGACAGGCTCGAAATAGAAAGGTGGCCGTGAGGGCAGCTTGGATGAAGAAGAGCATGATTGGGTCCAGTAGAATAAAGCGTGATGCAGTCAACAAGGAAGTTTCTACGGGACAAGCAGTTCTTTTGATGACGGTGCACTCAAGGCAGCGTGCAAGATGAAGGCAAAGCTTAAAGCTGATTGCGCCCACCCACCGGCTAATAGAAGCATGGCGGCCAGAAGCGCGGGTGTGCGCGCACTCGACGCCACTCGCACGGCCACATAGCCCATGGGGACGACTGCACTGCCCATGGTGGCGCATAACTATACAAGCGCAAATGATCGGTCCGTGGTCGTGGTGACTGGGACAGCACCATAGGAACACGAGGGCGTGGCCAGCGACACGAGTGTGGACGTACGAGCCTCATGCCATAGTAAGGTGTTTGCTCATACGCATCGCCGGGCTGCTTGAAGGCAAAGTCTCCCCGATAGTTGGTCAAATAGCCAGCCCCAGCAATCAACATCTACGTCACGTTTCAAGGCGCAAGCGGGTGGAACCAGGAGCAAGCGTGTGGATGAGCTGGGTTTGAAGCCGACAGACCAGCCGGATCAGCGACTTGGCTCAAGAAACAAGTGTGACCGGGACAGAACCTCACCTTGGCCAACGGTGGGTGAACGTCAAAGTAAAACTCGTTTTTGATGTAGTGGTTGGCAAACTTGCCGAAATGTGTCTCATCCCAGCTGTGACGGCGACAGCATGGCCATCAGTTTTGTCGCCTCGCGGGAAGCAGAGCGAGGGATCCATGCAAGCCAACGTCCGTACGCAACACTGGCTGGTATGGAAAGGTGATAAATGCGGGTCATCCAAGCCACGAGACTCAAGAGGCTGATCAGGACCAGGTCCAGGATTAGATCGGCCTTCACCTACAAAAGGAGATTGAGGTTCATGGCCCGCCATTAGCTGAAGAGCCCACACGCAGGGCCAACGTGATCGGAGCGTCGGCTGCCCCGTTTGAGGAAATGAGACGACATACCTCCAATGTGACGCACCACCCATCGTTGGGCCCAGCAGCACAACCTAGCTGCGCGACATCCTGGGATCCGCAGGGCCATGAGACAGGACACGCGCTCGGGGCTCAGCAGCGACCACCAAGGGCAGACCAACCTTCTGAGGCACATCCTCTTGCTTTGCTCCATCATCAACATTGTCCGGCCACAGCCAAGCCCGATCTCCCTCGACCACCGCCATCCCCACCCTTTGGGGCGCTTTCAAAGGCACTCAATCACCCCACCCGCCCTGTCCGCCGCAGTCTCTCTCGCTCGCTCGCTCGCCTCTCTCTCTCTCTCTCTCCCTAAAAAAGATTAAAAAGTTTTTTAGAGGCAAAAGCACAACCGTCTGGAATTGTCAGCATGGTTTGTGTGGTAGTGTGATGTTTGTTACACTTTCATATAGAAGGGTGAAGAACGACCACATCGCGTGGTCGAGATCCCCATCAGCCGCGTCTCTTGCTGTTGCTCAACCTTGGAGCGTATCTCTGATTTGTAGGAGAATATAAGCTGTTGCTCAGCTTGATATCTTGGGCGCCGCACCCTCTCTCTGACTAAAAGCACCCATTTGAGACGCGTCTCTCTTCCTTGTGGTGTTTCATTCACGACGAGGAGCGAGCACCTTGGAACTTGAGCATCGCGATCCTCCGGGGGTGTGAGCGCAGCGCAGTCCGTCCACCGGGAGACGGCGGCCCCGCGTTAGGAACGGGGAGGAGAGGTTCGAGGCCTTGGCGCTGGGTGGCCATTGCAATTGGACTTGACGTGCTGCTATCGGACCGTGGCTGTGGGTGCCTTGTTTGGTGACCATTTTGACCAGAACCGCACCCTCGCTGCCTTGCTGCAAGGCACTTGAGGTATAACCTTCTCCCTTATCCGCTCCTCTGGTTCCTCTCAGCCCGTGCCCTCGCCCGGTGTAAGGTGTTACAAGGATGCCTCGATCCACTTGATGAACGACACCGCGCACACCTCCATTGCAGACGCTGCTTGGCGTGCTTCTTGGCCTCGCTTTTTTTCCACATGCCTACACCTTACTACGCCCCCTGCCGCGCCCTCGTGTCTCAGGGCTTCCCCGTCGGCTCAAGATTTGGCAAGCGGGCAAGAGCCGGTCGGCATTTGACATCTGGTAAGCTTTGTACTGACTGCGCATCCCTATGGGCCGAGCCGCGATGAATGCAGCATCTTCTGAAAGGTGGCAGGGTGCTATCGTGCGTCTGCGCCGATACCAGCCTCTTGCAACTTTCAGCATCCTGCTGTGATGGCCTTCCCGCTGCCCCCTCTCGTGTTGCACGCGGCTTCTGACAACGGGCGACATCCTCTCGATGGTGCATTTGGTGCTCGCTACTTGGCAGGGATTTGCGCCAACGCTACGCCGGCCAGATCATCCTCTGGTCTTGAGCTGCGGTGCTTGGGAAGGAGAGCCGAAACTGGGGGTTTTCCCGCAGAGCCATTGCACATCAACCTATCGCTCTTCTGGCACTTTGCCTTTCCTTGTTACTTCTCCCCACTCGACCTACTTTATTTGTTACTGTCTGTGAGGACGACGCTGCGAGCGCCGCCAGCAGGACACGGGGCGTCATGGCTGCGCGGGCAAAGCGAGCCTCCAAGGCCTGGCACAAGTGCGAGGTGACGGATAGTCCTGTTGCTGCTGCGGCTATTGAAATGTGCCTCGAGGCCTTTGAAGATGCCCGCGAAGAGGAGAAGGAGTTTGGTCCGTCAATCATCTCGCGCTTCACCGTTTTCTACACCAATGGCGTGGTGGCTCGTCACGACCCTGAGCAGGGTGAGCCACCCAAGCTAAACCCCGTACATTTGCCCTACAACAAGGATGAGCTCAACGAGGCCTTTGAATTCTCCGGCGAGCTCGAGGATTGCATCAAGCCGCTATGCTACCCCACTGAACTAGAGGATGCAGTCCTGACTTCCTTCGTCCTGACACCCCTGGTCCGTGAGGGGGAGAGCCGTCTCACGCGCATCGACTATGACGCGATTAGCCGTGCTTTCAATGGCACCCTGCACCCAGCCGCCAGCATCTTCATCGTTGAAGGTACGCTCTTCTTGCCCTCAAATCTCATTCTCGGCACATGCATTCACCTTGACCTCATCGTGGGCGTCGGTGACCGCTTGCTGCCGTGTGTGCCAGGCATCCAATCTATGTTCCAGCGTCTGGAAGAGTCGATCGAACTGCGCCAACAATGCGGCATGGCCAATGGCGAGGTGTATCTCGAAGGTGCGTCGGACTTTTGGGGCTTGTTCAAGCTCATGCGAGAAGACAAGGGCACGGCACGCGCCGTTGGAAGACGTGAGGGAAGGGGGCGTGAATCGTAGGCGGGCTCTCATGCATGAACCACCCGGGTCTTTGGGCTGTCATCTGAATCATTTAAATGCAGAGGATCATCGACGAGAGAAGGCCTCGTTGCAGGCAGCCAAGGAACTGATGAGCAACCACAACTTTGTTTCCGTCGCGGAGATTGGCGTCGGCATCAACGGCGAGGCACACCCTGATATCGCCCAGGCCACAACCTTTCTACGTGGCTACGTGGGTTTAACGGAGAGTGGCATCCTGACGGGCGTGGCCACCGACGTCATCCTCACATAGCGACCCCCATAAGAGCCCATGCCATAGTCACCAATTGTTCAATCCAACACATTGACCCCCCGCCTACTTGCCTCGGATCATGAAGGGATGAATTTCACCTGCTTCCCATCTGCACCTCACAAGCACCCCTCTACTTGCGTCTGGGTAACAACCAAAAAAATTATATGCCCGTAACCTGCGTACTTGCCATTCATTCTGCACTCGTCGTCCGCCTTCTCCTCCCTCTCCCGCATCACTTTTGTTAACAGGCACGCACACCATAAATGAAAGCAGGCAACGACAACAAAAAAAAAGACACAAAAAAGAAGAGGCCAACAGCACCATGTATTCCCATCTGGTCACCCACGATAGTACTAGCATGGCCCAACATGGCTTAACTGCGGCGATCGGACGAGAGCCGGTGTATTCCATGTGGTATGACCGTTGGCGAAAGCGAACAATCAAAGTTTACTTATAAAGGGTTTTTTTTTAGTCTAGTAAATGTGCACCTTGAAGTTTCATTGGATTTGATTGGTTCACGTAGAGAACCCGTGTTGGGGTTCAGCATCTTAACAACCAACATCCCTGGCATTCTCTCCCCTCTCTCTCGGATCGACCGACGGACAGTACGTGTCGGTGCTGCTGCTGCAGTCGCCTGGCTCGGTTCAGGTGGGGACGTGGCCAGGACTTGAAAGCAGCGGTTCAAAAGGTGGTGCTGCTGTGGTCGACGACAGCCGAGGGTTGATTGTTCACTCGCTAAACTCCGCGCCCATCCCGGTGGTGCTGACCCCTGCTTGTCATTGTGTGCATAGCGCTTCGTTTCCTCCTCAGCTGCCGCCATGGTGTTCCAAGTGACGCTTGCGATGGTCAAGCCCGACGCAATCGACCGGGCTGATGATATCGTTGATCGTGTGCTGGCTTCTGGCTTGGCCGTTCTGAATGTGCGTACATGTGCCTGAGAAGCGACCCGCCCGCTTCCGCGCTCCATTCTCTCATGCTGCGCCTCGCCTCGTTGGCCTGTGCTGTGCAGCGTCGTCGAGTGCGCCTGACTCTGGAGCAATCGACCGAGCTTTACATGGAGCACTACGGCAAAAGCTTTTTCACGGAACTGGTCGCTTTCATGAGCAGGTTTGCTGCCCTTCTTGCGTCTGACGGTCACGCTGTGGTGCTTGGGGTGGTGTCGATTGACTCTGCGCTCCCCCTCCATCCTGTCCCGTAGTGGCCCCGTTTTGGTCATGGTGCTGGCCGGCAATGATGCTGTCAGTGCCTGGCGTGACCTGATCGGCCCCACCGACTCCGTCAAGGCCCGCGAAGTGGCACCCAAATCGTAAGTTGTAGCCACCTAGCACCCTTGTTCTACCCTGCGCCGTGGTTTTGATGAGGGTGGGAGGAGTGTAATCGGTCGCGTCCAAAGGGTGGTCCAATGAAAACACGGGCCGTCCACTTGAAGGCGCGCGTACTCTGGGAATGGGGACTGCTGCTGCAGGTGCCATTTTACTCGCTACGTCTCATCTCTTCGCGTCCGTCGTGGTGGGGCTGGCTAGGATACGCGCACTGTTCGGCACAGACAACCGCCTGAACGCGGTACATGGTAGTGACTCTCTGCTCAGTGCATACCGGGAAATCAAGTTTTTCTTTCCAACCTGTGCGTGCTTTCTGTTGGGCACCTCATCGCCCTGCCGCTCGGGTGATTCTGACCGCCCGCGCTCACCCCCGTGCCCTCTTCATGAGTGCAGTTGTCGTTGCAGATACACAAGAGTCTGGCTCGAATGCGCTCAGCTCGGGCACCGATTTTCTGGAACGAGAGGTCAACCCGACCCTGATCCGGGGCTTGACGGCCTTGTGCAAAGTGGGTCATGAGCCTGTTCGCTATCAAAAAAAAAAAAAAAAGAGGAGAGTTACTTTCGTGGTCATCTGATCTGATCTCCTCTGCATTGGTGTGTGCTGCCGCAGAACAAGCCGGCTGACCCTGTTCGGTGGTTGGCCAATTGGCTGGAAGAGAATAACCCAAATGCGCCTCGTGTGCAGGAACCCGACGAGTAATAACTTGACTTTTTGCCAGTGGTGTTGCTAACTCTTGTTGCTTTGTTCTTTTCTGATGTGTGCGCGTGTGTGCGCACGAAACTTGTGTTTTGCTCGTGTGCCGTTGGTCTTGTTCCTGTTTCCATGTTGTTTCATGACACTAGAGTGGGGTTTTTGATGCAGCTGTGCTCCTTGCCCACCCATTCTAATTCACAGTGGTATTGGATTGCGCCCTCTTGGTGGTAGCTGGAATAACGTTGACTTGCGTGCATAATGTTAAATTATTTATCATATTTCTCTTGTACACATTCATAACCCCGGGTCCTTACTGAGGCTTCACGCGGCTCAGGAGCCGCTGCGCGTATTGCTGCGTAGTTGCTTGGAGTCCGGCTCGATGCTTGATCGTGCGAGCCACACGGGCATGTGCTTGTCGCGCCGTCAAATCAGCAAGTCCATCTGGCCACTTGGCTAATGTACCTGCGAACAGTTGAACAGTTGAAAGGTTAGAGAATCACCGTAAAGGTCACGTCCGAGCTATCTTTCAACTTACCAAGTGTAAAAAGGATGACGCGCAGCGTCTGCTCTGTCAGTTCTGGTTGTTCCATCACACTCAACAACCTACAGGTATACAGGCATCCAATCACACGTGACCAGAGTACACAGACAGCGCCATCAACACACCAAACCAGTTCAAAAAAAAAAAAAAAAAAAAAAAAAAAATAGCCAAAAATTCATGAATAATTCAAGAGAAAAGGCACACAAACAGCACATGAACGAGACAAGTGAAGAAGGTTTGTTGTGTGAGTGGCGCGAGTTTAGGACGTACGCGTCGGATGCCTTAGCCGCGGCGAACACATGATCCAAGACATCTGAATTACGGCCAAGGTTACCAAGAGCACCTGTCGAGAACACCCAGTGGCCACGACGGAGCATGAGGGCTTGCCGGACGGGAGACAGATCAGCCAAATCAACCTACCCGCGGCATTTGAAATGGTGCGGTCTTGTTCGGAGGACAGCAGGCGGACAAGGTGGGGAATGGCCGCAGACAGGCGGTGCACAAATTGGTCGCTGTGAAAGGCTAAATTGCCAATGGCAAACGCGGAGAACTTGAGCACGTCCGGGTGCTGGTCCGTCAACAGAGAGATCAAACTCGACGCCACTCCCAACCTAGCCACAACCCGACAAACCAGCAAGCACATTCACGAGGGAGGCCAAGGAGAACCAAAAGCGCAAGGCGGCTTGTCAGGCATGGCAATGCCAAGCGCGGCGCGGGCTGGGTTCAAAAAGCAAACCAAACAGGACAGGTCGCGCACTCCCCATCCACCCACCTCTCCGACTCATCGTAGAAGAAGGCAGAGTGGCGATAAGCATTGCCAAGCACATTGCAAGCTCGTGCCCGCAAAGTTGCACTCTCGTGTCGCAGGCATCTAAACCGCGCCACCAACATCGCGGAGCCGCGCGGCAAGCATCAGAACAAATCGATTCACCATGGCCAGATTGAACCAGTTCCGTGATGACGCATGCAGGTAAACCACGAGCACACATCGACAAGTGCTCACCTCACCACCTCTGGAAACACACGCAGCTTGTCCACAGCAAAGCAGTGCTTGCCAGACGTCCGCATGAGTCGCGAGAGCCACGTCATCATATCTGCCAACAGGGTTTTCGAGGCCTGGATCGGATGGACACTGTAAGCCCACTCCACAAACAACGTCCAGCTGACACCGCACCCTACGAGCACCGCCCCCTCAGCAAAGCAGCACATGACTGGCAAACGTACCGTCTCACGAAAAGCATAAACGCAGACCTCGGGCGAGCTCTGTAAATGGTCCAAGGCAGCCACGCCAACATCATCATCGACCACACAAAGGTGCAGCAAGAGCTCGAGCAAGGCCACCAATGGTGCTTGACAACCATCCTGAAGCAACACGCGCGCCCAATACGTGCACGTCTCCACAAGCTTGATCTTACTCGCCTGATGTTCAAAAGGTGTGAGCAACGATCATGAGCGGCTGTCCCGAGAATGCGAGAGTCACCTTCTGCCTACAATTGCCAAGTCAGGCGCACGCGGAGACACGCCTGCACGTACCGAGGAAATGGCCGTGAGCCAAGCTTCAACAGCGGGGCGCAGCGTGGCAATGGCCGAAGCAGCATGGGCCAGCATATTCAGGCGTTGCTCAGCCTGGAAAACAACAGCCTCACTCAAAGTATGCTCGAACCAGGCCTTCACGGCATCCAGCCACGCCGCGTCTCGATCCTCAACATTAGCAAGTTTGCTCGGCCACCAGCGCGGGGGCGCCGTTCGCAAGTCGGCCAATAGACGCAGCGACAATGCAGCGCTACAAGGCGTCATCAGCACTTGGTCCAAACGGTCAAACTCAAGCGTCAGGGTCCACAAGGCCTCCGGGTCGAGATCAGCCGGAAAGGCCTCCAGGCCCAATCGCCGCAAAGACCCGGTCACTGCAGCTACACACATGTCGAAGACACCATAGGAGACTTGCAACCGGGTATTGGCAGCCAAGCCCATTAGACCATCGCCATCTAAATCCACGGCACAAGCTTGTACCGCTTCCACCACATCAGGTGGGGCCACAGCAAGCGCAGCAAGCAGTTCCAATGCCCCTCGGACCAGCTCGCGATCCGAGCCGGTCGGCACCGGCGTGCCGTGTTCCACCAGCGTGGTCCAGAAGGAACACAGGCAGCAGGCTTCGGCCATAGCTACCGCGCCTGGACAACATGTCATTGATAGTAGCGCAATGTAACCATGGCATGAGCAAATGAAATGTCAGTTGCGGATACCAAAACGTGAAAAGTTCGCAAGCACGGCTGCCGGGCACGCAAAAGGAGCAGACACAGGCTGAAAGTACAGCAAGTGCTTGCAGAATCATGTACACATACAGGGTCCCAGCGGGTCAAAGTTGGCAGGATCCTCTCTTAGCATTCTTGTGACAGACGTGCAAAGGCGAGCTGCGTCTGCGCACGCCTGCGCCGTGCGCCGACCAATGGAAGACGCTTCTTGCTCGAATATCGCAAACAAGTTGGTGCCATCCGCCGTGCGCATCGCCTGTCGGCCAAAGCGATTGAGATTGAGCAACGTGTGAGGGCGTTGGTTCATACATGCGCGTGTGTTCATGTGTGCGTGCGTGCGCGCGGACGCGTGCAAGCCCTTCGCGTGGCGAGTACATAGAGCTGAAGCGCCACATTAGATCGCATCAGGGTCAAGGCAAGGCATACCACGGGTAGCCGCAGTAATTGTGTCAGCAGTAGAGCACCCATCGAGCTCAACACGGGGTCCTTCGATGCCGTGATGGTATCATCTATTTAGCACGTTCTCATGAATGGGCTCTAGCTCGAGCAGACCCAACGTTGATACCCAAGGTTCACCCGAGGCACGTACGGAGGAGGGGAATGTGCGCGAGCACAGCTTGACAGGCTGCAGGGGCCTTGATGCGGAGACCTTGCAACAAAATCTAGGCAAAGCGGCAATCAGTCGACAGGCCGTGCACAAAGATGTTTGACAAGGACAATATGCAATGCAAAGTCGTCACCAACCTGGAAGGTGGCCAAACTGGGTTCAGCCAACAGCAGACTATACAGGTTTTCGGCGCCAGCACGCTTGAAAAAGACGTGCCGCAGCTAGCATACATGAATGGACCTGTGAGAAGCCCGGACGACAGACAGCCTCTTTCTAGGGCTTGTACGCCGACTTGAATCAAGAAGACGGCTGCGCCAAGGCTCGCACAAACTCACCTGTTGAAGCTGCTGCATAACGCGGCTATAAAACCCAAGCTCGGGTTCGCCCTGAATGGACCAACTTGGCTGATGGACAAACGCCACCAAAGCTTGCAGCGTCCAGGCGTATGCGTCGTCATCCACGGCCATTCCTGGAGTCAGATCCAGCACATGCATTTACGGCGCTGCGTCAAACACGTTTTCATTTGCAGAACATCGGGGTGGATAGACGGAGCAAAGCCAATTGAATCCTTACCTTGGAGCAAGCGCATGAGCGACGACATTAATTCTTGATGAGGAGCCAAGCATTCGAGCAAGACGAGCGCCGCTGTCGCATCGGTGGCGCTCAAGTTGCCAAGTTCAAGCAAGAGCTACCAAGCAGATTGTCACATCAACCCAAGTGAGCGTGAAGGTGAACAAAGCATCGTCAGGCACCTGTGCGACTGGACGTGGCAGCTCAAACACCGGACACAACTTTGAATGCGTACCTCCAGCGTGCAGCAGCAGGCGCTGACGGCCTCCTCATCCAGTTGTCCATGTGTAGACAAGAGCATTGTTGCTTGCTGCACAATGGCATCGGATATTTTGATCACGAGGGGTGCCAGTGCTCCAACAATTGTTGCGTCCCTGATGTGAGCCAGGCAAGCATGTTGAGGGAAGTGAGGCAGCAGCAGCAAAGCAGGGTGTGTCCACGTGCAAAAGTGCACGCATAGGATGTCAAGATCCGGGTCAGATCAGTCCCGATTCATGTGAACCTACTGCAGCATGGAAATGACGTTGGTAACCTCATTGAGAATAGGAGCCATGGCTGCAAGCTGTGGAAGCTCGTCCAGGGCTTGATGAATGGCTTGGGTAAGGACCTCTAAGACGCCTTCGGAGTTGGCGTCTGACTCCTGGACAGGCTGAATGGATACCGAGGCGTCGTCTTGGTCGCGCAACATGGTTGTCAAGCCGCTCAGGGCGGTCACAGCTGAGTTGAGAGAGAGGCGCACCATATCATCATCACCTCCTCCGGTGAGAGTATCATCTAAGCTCCTGGGCACGTCGCTTGAAACTGCGTCAATAGTGCGCGCTGCCTGCAACTGGTCTCGCATGTGTCGCAAGCGCGATTCAGTATTTGTTGCGTTTGAGTTGGGTGCCAGGCGAGCTGCGTTGGATGCATGCAGGTCAGTGGCGGTGGTGGCCCGTGTGACACGCTCCGAGGCACTGGCCTCCATTGTTGGTGCGCCACCGGTGCGTGCTTGTTCTGCCGCAGGGCGGGGCAGGGATTCGGTCGACGCCACCACAATGGAGTGATCTGCCGGGTCGCTCTGAGATCCACCGCCCAGCAGTGTATACGTTGGGTTGCGAGCACGGTGCCCTCCCCGCTGACCATCTGGACTGGCATCAAGAGTGAATGAAGGGGTGGTAATGTCACTCACGTCCTCAAAGTTCTGCTGCTCCTCGTCATGCTGACGGGAAGTGTGGGGGATTTGGCTGCGAGAGTTGCGTCTCTTTGTATCTTCCCTCTCCTCCGACTCCATGGTCGCTTCTTGATTGATGCTGTCATTGCTCTCGTCGTCTTCATCGTCAAGCTCGTCTGAAGCCCAGCGTGCTGGAAAGTGAACAGCACTGGTGTCGCTAGTTCTGGAGTCTCGAATGCTGTTTGTTGGCGAGTTGGCAGCGCTGTGATAGAAGCGCTCTTCGCGTTTCAATGCTCCCGCAGGCGCTGTGTAGGTGCGCATGCCGGCATCGCCGAGGGTCGAATCCATGTTTGACGTCGGCTCTACTTGCTGGGAGGGGGCAGTCTGCGGGGCTCGTGGCTGGGTTGGGCGCGCCTGAGCACTGGCGCTCAGCGAGCCATGAAGCTCGTGTTGAGCAGATTCAAGGCGCACCGAGCCTTCTGTCACAGGTCGATGACTTGACTCGTGCACGCGTTGCTCGCGTCGGCGCTGGCGCGCAGAGTCGTGGCGAGGACTCGCCTTGGGCTCTGGCGATGAGACGGAGGCAGGCAGACGTAAATGTCGAGGGCTCAGGCCAGCCTTTGGAAGGTTCGACTTGGTCCCGGGTGCCGATGGGCTGGTGCTGTGTCGGCCGTGTGATGGAGCTGTGGCGATGGGACGCAGCGAAGCACGGTGGTCCGGGGTTGGGGGGCCCAGGCTCTCAATACCCGATGTCTTTGGTCGAACCACGTTGTTGAGCGCAGGTTCGTAAGGAATGTTGTGAATGTTACGGCGGCCCACCAGGAAGCGGTGCGTGCTCAAGTGCGGCCAGCCCAAGCGCTTGTGTGGCACTTTAATCAGGAGGCCTTGCAACATATCCTGATGTGACGTCACCGGCACCCGATGTAGGCCAGCATGCGTGTGAGGTGGCATGATACAGAAGGGAAAGTGCTGGGATGGTGCCGACAAAAAGCGGCTGCTCGTGCGGAGGACCCACCTTGAAATCCGGATCCACGTTGGAAGGAAATGTCACGGGCTGCTGCGTAATCATCTTGACGAGATCAAAGATATTATTGGTGTAGAACGGGGGCTCTCCCACGCACAATTCTACATGGCCGAGAGCGGGGGACCATGATTTAGGTGAGAATGCGTGCGCGAAGATAAGGGGATGGGGAAGGGTGGAAAAGTTTGGGGCAGCAGGTGATGGAGGTTGACATACCATATAAGATGCAGCCCAAGCCCCATAGATCGGAACGATGATCTAGCGTGGCAGGGATATGGGGTGGATGATGAGGGTGCGGCGCGTGCACTACCACAAGCTACCAGGGAGACAGATGGCGACAAATTGTGGCCTAACCGTAAGGCTCTTCGCGGACAAGCTCAGGACTCATGTAGAGTGGTGTGCCTTTGATGCTGGTCACCACGAGGGTGTTGAAGGACATGGCGCGAGCAAAGCCAAAGTCACAGAGCATGCAGAGGCCATTTTTGCCAAGAAGCACGTCTAATGACGGGAGTGTCGTGCCCGAGACACATGCGTGGTCAGATAAGTGGTGAGTGTGAAGGCACAATTGCACCCAAGGTCAGGTCCAGGGTACATGATCTAAACTGACTCTGGGGCTTGAGGTCGCGGTGAATGATGCGATGGTCATGAAGGTACCTAGCCAAGAGGCGAGTGAAAAGAGAAAAGGGAAATAACCAAATCAAGCAAGGCGACAAACCATTTACAAGGCCAGACAAATGCCGATGTTTTAATAAGCAAGGGTCGTGGTTTGCGAAAGAGCATGTCATTCCACGTCGTCGTCAACAAACCGGAGGGCTGAGATCAGCTGTTGACTGATGCTGTGAATCTCTTCAATGGGCAGCGTACGATCATCTTCGAGGACTTGATAGAGCTCACCGGCCGCATAGTCGGTTGCAACGATCTGCGTTGAAGCATGTGCATGAGGAAGTGCGGGGTCAAGGCTTCTAAAGGGGTATGGGGCTGGAGTAGAGAGGGAAAAGGGAGAGAGAGACGACAAAAGAGAGAAGAGAGAAGAGAGACGACGGGACGACAGAAGAGAGACGACAGAAGAGAGACGACAGAAGAGCGAGGCAATTGTGGAAGGACGAGGGGTCTTGCCAGTTCATCTTTGGTCGTGATGGCTTCGTGAAGCTTGATGATGTGAGGATGATCAAGGGTTTTCATAATCTCAATCTCATCCTGGAGCAGAGCGAGCTCGCGGTCGTTGCGACCCTGAGAGAGAATGCCAGGCCACACAGGATCATGAGTGTGGGTTGATAAGAAGGAGAAAAAAGCAAGAGGAGGCCATGCCAGCAACTTTGTCAGTCGAGGAGGTGGCGTGGCTTACGCGTATTGAGATGAATTTGAGGGCAACAAGCTCGAGTCCCCCACGACGACGACCCTTGTAGACCTGTTTCAGTCAGCATGATCGGCTTGGTGTGAGAGCGCGAGTACGCATGGGCAAGTGTTGGTGCAAAGACCCGCATTGGAGCAGTTCGCGACAGCCTGAGCTGATAGGGGCAGAAAACGACCAAGGCGGAAGTCGGCGGCGGGTATCCAAGGGCTGACCTTGCCGAAGGATCCAGTGCCGACGAGCTCAAGAACATGGTAATTTTCCATGCTCGCGGCCACCGAGTAGCAGACCAACACCGGGTAATGGTCAGCATCCAGCTACATTACAAGGCACACGGCAAGGCATTTGGGACCAAACCCGCCCAGAGCGAGCCAATGAGCGCGGGCGAGTGATGAGGGCAGGTCGAGCGAGAAAAACGCTGCATGTCAGGTAAAGAAATAACGCCCCCCACAGCCGTTCAACCACAAACACCTTCAAGTCAGCCACAACCACACCATCTTAAACCCTGAACCAGCCTTTAGATCCCAGACCCAGCACGGACATCCCTCCACCCATCAAAGACCCCCCCCCCCCCCCCC